ATTTTCTGCCAGGAAAAAGCTATTTTATTTATTTATTACTAGTGATCAGTAACAGTTATTCAGCAATTTGTCGAAATGTCATTGATAAAGTAATATCTACTTTACCTGTGTCAGACAGCCTAACTCCATGAAACTCCTTGGATAATATCGGTATGTCATATATAATAGCTTCATTAATTAATGAAAATAGCGGGTTGCTAGCACCTCGTCAGCACCTGTGATTTGAAATGCTACAGTGATAGATCTGACCAAAGAATTAGTCCAATTGAAGAAATCGGTTTACCAAAGTATGATCTAAATCACATTTAATGCAGCCTGATACCAGGTACGGCAATTGCCATACCTTTCTCGCATAACATCACGCATTGATGCCGGACCGGGAACCGGGACGCTTCGAAGATTCGACTCAAATACTTCCTCACTATAGGTGATTGTTTTAATGAGACACAATAAACCGGGAATGAAGGAAACAGAATTCCTGTAATCATAGTCATATTTTACTTCGAATGTGAATCATCTAGGTGGAGAGCCTATAGCATGATACAAGTTGAACCATCCTGGCGAAACCTCTAAAAGGAACGCAATGTGGTTTCCTGCTGCTTGGCCCAAGAACTCAATTTTAAATAAATTCATTTCTTTATCTTGATGGAAAGAATCAATTTTTCAAAACAACTGATGGTTCTGGGAAGAATTTCAAAGATTCTAAATGATGAAAAAAGATTTCAGAAAATGCAATCATGCCCAACCTCAAGAATTATATATCTGTATCTCAATCAATGATTTTTCCAAGTAATATAAAGTGTGGTTTTTCAGTCTAGTTGTATAAAAATCGGCCGTAAAATATTTGTTTTTTGGAGCGACTGGTTTCTTCACACAAATAAAATATTCACAAAGTGGTAATTTGCGGCTCAAACAACTAACCAGATATCGCAAGATTGTGTACGGTATTATACCAAGAGTCAGTGGTCAAATTGAGATCATACAGGAGGTTTCTTAGAAGGGATCAGATTATCCTTCAAATTTGGAAGAACAAATAGTAGATGTCGCTGGCTTTACAGTATTTGAAGATATCGAGACTTATAAAAGCAGACTGTCAAAAATGATATTGATTAACTCGCGAGAAACATTTCGTTCGAATGTGTTTGTGGCTGTATTTGAAATGAGAAGTGTTGATAAAAGTAAAAATAGCTGATAAGAAAGAGAGGCGTGAAAAACCTGAAGAAAGAATTGCAACATAAAATTCCGACCTCTCGGAGGTCATTAATACATCAAATCGGTAACAGCAACAAATATAATTATGTTTTTTTTGTCTACCAGATCCAGTAATATAAGCTGTTCAGAAACTTCATCATTCAACGGATTATAATAAAAAGTTTTCATTAAATCCCAATATTCAGGAAGAAACCCCATACAATGCCAATTAACAAATACCACAGATAAATCCTCTTTGACTATGATGTTGCGAGAACTCAATTCCCCATGAGATAGAAATATTCTGGAATCTGTCGGTAAAACTTCATTTACCAACCTACTTATCCTTTTGTTACGAATTTTTGAAGAGATATACTTGTTGAACGCCCTTTCAGATTCAAACTTCAAATGGCCAAACAATGGATCACGAAAATTATTACCATCAATTCCACATATTTCGTTTGATGTTTCTTTTTTTAGTTTATTCAACTCATTTAGAATATTATCTGTAACAATCTGTTTCTGCTCTTCACTCAATTCTGGCCATATATCACACAACGTCTTTCCAGGAATATACTCCATTTCAATATAGAATTTGGAGTCCTTGGTGTAGTGTTCATAGATCTTGGGACAAGATACTTTGTTTTGCACGTATTCTAAATTACGTGCTTCTTGGAGAGAAGTGCATTTAATTACTCTGTCACCAACAATTTTTATATCCTTCATGGCAGTTTCTTCTACTTTCTTGTTTCCAAGAAAACAGGCAAGAAATAGAGTGAAGCAATTTGTGTACTTATACAGGAAATCATCACATTGATACGAAAGATGCAGTTCCCTCCAAAACCACAGTGGCGGTAAATTAGGGTTTGTAAGCACAGGGTTTGTTTCGGCCAAAGACAAACTTGATGTCACGTGTGCCGGTCTACTTGATTCAAACCTGTAACCGAAAATATCGTTGGAGCGTTGTAGTTGGTGACGATAAAGCATTTCACAGTCTTGAGTTGATAATTGACCGTCCTATTTGGTGTATTCAATAGATATAGGAACATATATGTTGATTTCTCATGGAATCCAACTGTTCTTTCTGAGGAATCTCCACCATACAACACGTCAACCACAAATAACAAAGTCTTAATAAGACAATTATTCGGCTTTATGTTAGCGATATTCTCAGATCAGTAATGCAGCACTAATATTTATTTCGAATTGCGTAATTCGCACTCAAAATATTTTACGCCTATATGTTCAAGTAGAACTGGATTTATATGTTAATTCTTTTACAAACATTAAAATTTTGACTGAGATAGTTACTTATCTCTTTGGTCGCTATCGTCCAATCATGATTCAGAAGTTATGAAATTGTTCAAATAGTTGATATCAACCTTAAGCACTGATAATGAAACTTAATAAAACAGCCGAAAGTGATGACTTACATTCAAGTTATTGCGGAGAAAGAATTGAAATTATCTAGGATTTCGATTTAAATTGATTTAGATCATTATCAAAAATTCAAATTGATGTTAAAAACGATACTATGAGCAGATCAACAATATAATATTCAAATCGGTATCACAATTAATTAGATTATTCAATTTGCCGTTATCAAAGATAACATTATTATTCGTATTATTACCATTAAATAAATTATTGGAATTACCAGTATTGTTATTAATTAAATTAGTGGAATTGTTATTTAGATTACCATTTTGAAATAGATCGATGATATTGTTATTGTTATTGTTATTGAAAATGCCTCCATTAAGATTTTGATTATTTTGTGTGTCGTTAAAAAGGCCACCTTTATTTTGGTTGTTATTATTGAATAAGCTACCTCCAGCGGAAAAAGAATTTGAATTATTAGCTTTGTTGTTTGTGTTGAAAAGATTTCCAATTAAACTAGTAGAGGTGTTAGTATTTGAACCGCTAAAACAAATTATTTGAGGCGATATTATTATTATTATTATTATTATTATTATTACCAAATGAATCAAAAGCCGAATTGTTGTTATTGTTCCCAACTAAACCACCGGTATTATTGTTTGAGTTTCTAAATAAGCCACCACTAGTTGTATTATTTGAGGAGCTAAAAACAATGCTATTATTTTTGTTGCTGAATGGATTATTA